CAGACACCCCAATAGCACCCTTCCTGCCCTCACAGCCTCTCCTTTTTACAGTAACCACTGGGTCCAGTCGGTGCTGCCCACTGGAATACTGACTTGATCTTATACAAATGGACACAGCTGCAGTATTTTCCTGAGGGAACACCCTTGTGTCCAGAAGGCAGCCTTCCATAGCACTCCTTCCCATCTTCCAGCACTCACATTCTTTCTGCCCTCTCTTCCATGATTCTCCTTGTGTGTTGGTGAGGGGTGTAAATGTCCTTTTCCAGCAGAGCACTCAACAGTCACTTATTTCAGCACTTTTTGACAACTTATGTGTCTCTGCCTTAATTGCTGTCCACCCTAGAAGGAAGTTTCTTAGATCAAGGTTGACAGTAGCACTAATCTACAGGGATGAATTATTTAGAAGGCAGTTTAACATGTCCATTTAGCCAAGCAACAATAGGTTTCTCACCCCCACCCCTCAGTGCCTGGGACCACCCAGCCATAGCCTTTGACATTTAGAGTACCAAGAGTGAATTTCTTCTCATTGAGCAGGCCTCAATCCAGTCAGGAAGTGGATGGCTACCCGTATTCCTGTCAGTCTTTGAACAGTGGGCACATCTAAGAAGAAACTTTTTTTTTTAATCTTTTTTGGACAAGGTCTCCCTATAGCCCCAGCTGGCCTGGAACTCTATGTAGACCAGACCAGCCTTGATCTCATAGAGATCCACCTGCCTGTGCCTCCTAAATGCTGAGATTAAAAGTGTGCTCCACCACACCCAGCAGGCACAGCATTTTTAATAGATCTCTCTCTCTCTCTCTCTCTCTCTCTCTCTCTCTCTCTGTGTGTGTGTGTGTGTGTGTGTGTGTGTCTGTCTGTCTGTCTGTCTGTCTGTCTGTCTTGGATTTTTTTAAAAGTTCTTTTCATTCATTCTTATTTTATATGTATAAGCGTTATGGCCACATGTATATGTGTACCCATCATGCAATACCCACAGAGACCAGAAGAGGGTGTCGGATTCCCTGGAACTGGAGTTATGCATGGTTGTTAGCCACCATGTCAGTGCTGGGATTGAACCTGGGTCCTCTGCAAGAGCAGCCAGTGCTCAACTGCTGAGCCATCTCTCCAGCCCCTTTTTTGTTTTGTTTTTGTTTGACCAAGTTTCACTCTGTAGCCATGGCTGGCCTGGAACTTGCTATGTAGACCAGGTTGGTCTCGAACATATCAAAATCTGCCTGCCTCTACCTACCAAGTGCTGGGATTAAACACATGGGCTATCATGCACAACTACTTTAGCTTTCTTGATACTCATATTTTATTATAGTAACAGCTGAGCTTCTAATAGGGTCTGAGTAGAAGTAAGCCTGTTAAGTCTGTAACACTCTGCAGTATTTCCTGATAGCATCTTCTGTGCTTTGCATAATCACCTCTAGGGTGGCCATTCTAAATGGTGAATTCACTGAGTACTTCTGACTGACCTCAGAAAAAAGCAGATTTTCCACAGGCCTCTGCTCTGTCCTGTCTGCCCTTTCTGTAGCACCTTTGAGGTGAGCAACAGCTCTGCCTGAGAGATTATGTTCCTAGAATTGCATTTCATATACAGATCCCTGTAGACAAACCCTGAGTCAGTAGAGCTGCATTCTTTGTCATACATACCTGTCTTAAGACAGATGCTTCCATTTTCATAAGGAGGTGGCTGTATTATAATGTAATTGCATTATAAGGTGGGAGGAGATTTGCAGAGATGTTTAGAAAGCACACGTAGACGTAAGAAAATTTTGATTGAATATGTGAGCCCTATGCTTGCAAAACCAGACCCTCACTTCCGTCCTTATAAACGTTTCTAATTCCCAAGCATCTGAAGACAGAGCAGTCAGGGTAGAATGGTGTCTACAGTTAGCATTCGCTCCAGCTGGGCTGTTGCAGGAAGAGTGCTTCTTGACTGTCTCCACACCTGAACTGCCACCTGGCACAGGGAGGCCCAGATTATACAGCCAGCCTGGGACCCAGAAATCTGTGCCTCTGTAGAATTAATGCTTGTCCAGCATCGTGCTGTACATGGACCTAATATTTAACCTAGTTTTTTGTTTGTTATTCATGAAGCCTCACTGCCATTTACAACACTTCCAAAGGAAATGGGTTTTCCATAGGAAATGCACTTAGTATTCCAGATAATTCATGTCCCAGTAAAGTCCCTAAGGACTAACACATGCTCATAAGTGTTCTACCTCTAGGCCAGTTTATCAGAAAACTCTTTAAACCTTTTCCATGTTTAACTTGCAGAAAACATATCTGATGCTTTTTTAGGTTGAGATTCATTATTTTATGCATCTAACTTTATTTTGGCATATAGCCATCTAAATAAATATTTAGAGTATCTTTTGTTCTTTTGGAAACTGTTTCTTCAAAACAAATTATTAAATGGTTTTGGAATGCTGGATGTTATAATTGCCTACTAGTGACATCATCCACTGTCAGTCATCCGCCCATGGCCCAGAAAACACAATACTGTGTCTTTTTTTTTTCCCTCTAAGTGTTGTGTTTGTTAGTATTCTGATAAACTTTAATGAGA